TAGTACGTATAGTACCTTACTGTAACGCATGCTCTATTTGTACGTATAGTACCTTACTGTAACGTATACTCTATTAGTACGTATAGTACTTTACTGTAACGCATGCTCTATTAGTACGTATACAGCGTCTATTTTCTACCGTGCAGCTAGATTGTCGTTGCCGTGGGACAGTCCCGACGAACTTAATTACGTCAAGCTGTCCACGTGTTAAATTCAGACCTTTTGTTCGGCGCAAAAATTACACGAATCGACGCATGAGCGTTACTTAAGTCGTTGTTCGTCCGCAAATCTACTTAAGAAGTAGTGGTAACTAATGGTTGTTTGTTGTTTTAGATGTCGACGATTGTGTTAATAATCAGTGTCAAAATGGTGCAACATGTATGGACGGCATTGGCTCGTATAAATGTCTTTGTAAAAATGGCTGGGAAGGAAAATACTGCGAAACAAGTACGTTAGTAGTACAATATCAATATAACTATCTTAGATTCAAAAAACAATGTTGAACTCAGCCACCCAATATTCAAATTGTTGGTCACATGGTCATGGTTTCGCATCTTAGCATGCCTGTCAATCAACTGACACGAAGGAAGGACTAAAATATGACAAGAAAATTAAAGAGAAATGTTAATGATTCATCTTTCATGATTAGATTCCGATGAGTGTCAAAGTAACCCATGCAAGAATAACGGAACATGTACAGACCTTATCAACGATTATGAATGTCAATGTCCTCAGCCTTGGAAAGGCAAAACATGCAACTCAAGTAAGAATCTAGCATGTCGTTCATACTGTTCTCTTTACAATATGCGTGTTTTTAGTAGCGCTGCAAAGCGATCATATACTTGGTATAGCGCCCTTAGAAAAAGACCTGGAAAATTGTGAAAACGTATTAGCAGACTGGATTATCAAACAGATATTTTCTCAATAACCTTTTAAGTTTTTATTGCTTGAGAACGTTGTCCCGCTCACCTTCGTTAATTGCGCCCCCTGCAGGCATGTATTTATAGGGTGTTACTATGTTTCCGCAGGGATTTCTCACTGCGAAAGAAACCCGTGCAAAAACAATGGCACTTGTCAGGAGATGGATGGAAGCAATTTCCGATGTTTTTGTCGCAATGGTTTTAGCGGACGGACATGTCAATTAGGTATAACACCCAAGTCATTTTCTCATCCAATTCAATTTTTACCTTTATTGTTGTTGTTTTCATTTCTATTTTTATCATTGTTATTCGTTAAGAGATTTTTTTCCGGTCATTTGTTCTTGAATCAGTTGCAGCTGGAAGCCAAAGTGTTGTTGACATGATTTGCTTTAGGCCGACATTATTCATTTGGGCCAATGTCACGATAATCATTCACACAAACAAAGCCAACATATTGGTGTTATCAACAATCTTAGGTTTAGACGACTCAATGTCGTTTACTAGCAAAACAAAAACTTTTCTAGCGTCTTAGGGAGTTATTTCAAAAAGCTGATCTGGTAGCTAGTCCCACTTGATGACTAATTCGGTGTTGCTTCAATTTTTTTTCATAATAGACTTTTGCTCCTTTCAAGAAAGATTCACGTTTTTTGTTTTGATTTTTGCAGAAGTTGGAAAGTGCCTGTCGAAGCCATGTCATAATGGAGGGACTTGCGTCAACAAACATGGAGGCGATGTTTATTGTTTGTGTAAAAACGGTTGGACTGGATATTACTGCCAGAAAAGTAAGTCGCTGTTCTACATCATTACCATGTGCTTTGAAGCCGACTGTAAAGCATTATATTGTAATTCATCTCTGTTTTATTAGAATACTCGTGTTATCATTCGAAGAGTTATTTCCAACTTTTATTTGTAGACGAAGACGACTGCGCCAAAAATCCTTGCCGCAATAATGGTCAATGTGTGGATAAGGTTGGTTTCAGAGAGTGTGTATGTGCGCCAGGATTCACTGGTCCTGACTGTCTCATCAATATTGATGAATGTGCATCTTCACCGTGCATGAACGATGGCACGTGCATCGATGGCTTGGCCACCTTTCAGTGTTTGTGTCCACCAGGGAAGATTGGTACCAGATGTGAAGGTAACTGTTTTATTCTTTACTTGAAACAAATATAGTATTTACTTTCTATACATAACCAATACAGGGAGTGCATATAATAACAATGAATAAGTGACAGGTCCAGAGTTAAAACGCATTACAATTATAAAGACATTCTTTGACTTGTAGCCAATGAAGACGATCCAGACTTATGCATCGTAAAGAATCATGTCTACAAGAACAACGAAACTAGCCAGGAAGAATGCAACAAGTGCACGTGTATCAAGGGAACACAGGAATGTACCAAGGTTGTATGTGGACCTCGAAACTGCCTTAACAAACAACAGCAGCTAGCTGGCAAGAGAGTCTGTCAGGCGGGTGATGTATGTAAGGTTATAAAAGGAAGCTGCCTTAAGCCGCCATGCCGTGCTTATGGACTATGTACAGGGGTGACAAGTACATCCATTGGAGGCACGGTGATAGGAGATGATGTCTGTTTACCCAACACAACTAGCCTCAATGGTGACTGCGCAAAGATTAATATCTTACTGAATGTGAAGAAAATCCCCAAGGTAAGTCCTGCCGAGGTTTCTCTAATGCTTCGAGTGACACAATCATGAGTTTATCTTGCGTTGTAGGGTACAATCATTGAAGAGTTTTGCAGCCAACTTCGCTATCTGCCGCTGCTACAGAAATATGCTATCAAAGCACATATCCGTCTACTTTGCGAAGGAAAGGTGCCGCCACAAAACATCATTCGACGAGATACAGCTACAGTGGTCGTGTCAGTGGTAAGCACCAATAGGCACACCTTGATTCAGTTTACGTCCTGTAAATCAGTCCAACAAATCCCGATTGCATAGTTTGTATGAAGTACCTTTATAATAGATTAGTAACGAAGTATAAAGAACCGCGAACCCCGCATGATTTTAGGGATGTTGCATTGTGATGTATAAATGGTGATACTAACCCTTTACGACCAAAACAATACACTATGTTGACCCTATCTTCAAGTACACAGGACATAAGGGCATAACTATTTTCGGGTCGACACTTTCAGATATGTGTCAATCAAGTTATGGTTTGTTTCAGGCAAGCACTAAAGAATCTGGTGTCGCCGAAAAGGCCGCTGGTGATATCGTCAAGTTTATTCTTTCTCACAAAGACAATCGTAACACTAACGTGACGCTCTACAAGGTGTTTGTAGCTGTCAGAGAAGTTTCTGTAGAACGTTCCATTACACTGTCACATGTGAAAGGCAAAGGTGAGTGATCACGGTCCGTACTTAGTTCTATTTTATCATTGACTTACACAATGCTCTTGTTGATTTCACAGAGAAAGATGCGCCGATGTACCTAATCCCACTGATCGCTTCGCTTGTAGTCCTTGCCGCCATGCTACTCCTCATACTTTGTATTCGCGGTAAATGGAGAGATAGGAAGAAGCGAGAAGAGGCCATCTTGGAAGGTCATATTCCTTTAAAGAAGAAACGAAATACAACCATGACAACCAATGACGGGCGTAAGTACTTCAATCAGACGTCACACGAATCAACATCATCTCAGTCATCATCATCAACTCAGTCGACCGAGTTGAGAACCTTTGATTATAACCGAGCCAGTTTACTTGATACCGCGTCAACTTGCTCTACTCCCCCTGTACTCTCCCCACCCCTCTCCCCTAGGGAAGAAGGGGCCAAAGATGAGTGGAGGAGATTTCGAGTGCATCGGAACAGCACTCAAATAGAGATAATTGTATAGTTTATTGATAGATTATATATTAGTAATTTATTAGTTTATTGTAGAGTATAAGAAAGATTATGACTTATTATATTGGGAAGAATCTATAAGCAGACTACGTTCAAGTCTGCGGTTAACCGTGGACTGGGACCGAGGAAGGACATGATTGTTTTAAAGTAATGCGTTTGGGTTTCCTGTGGTGTCATTTTTTGTGAAAGCTATATGTTTGAATGCTTAGCAAACATCAAAGGCCTTAGAATAAAAATAACTTTCTATTCACACAGTGAAATCAGTCTCTAGCTGCGGTGGTGATCGAAGTTCATAAAAGTTTGATTTGTTTTATTATTGTAAATACGTCACACCACAGGAAGACCACTTGTTTTGTGCATGTTATTGAAATTAATTGTTTTTCTAAAGAAAAATGTAAATATGTAAATGTTATTTAATATTTAAATATCGTGTAGTTCACGTTGGACCAACATACGTACTTTAGGGTACAAACATACTATCTTTATATTAGTTATCATTAGGAATTAAACCTTGACATCAGCTTGTCTCCTACGCAGCCGATCCTTTAGTCGGGCTTCAAAAGAACGGCTGCTAACGAGGCTCGATATCAGTCAAATTGAGCGAGGACTTTACCATGTAATTAAATCAGGTTTCGTTATTTAACCAACTATTCGCGACTTGTCGATCATTGACGGAGCTCATTGACATTGATTCAGTCTATAATAGTCGTACTCGGTCAAAAGATTTGTTTTGTGAGAATCGTATGATCTATGTCTAAAACTGACGTTTTTTTCTAAATTTTGTAGGAATCTAGTTTTGTAAAAAAAGCAAGATATTAAAATCATGATTACAAGAAATGTTGCGGGGTTTGTTTCGAGACGAGAAAAAGACGAAAATATCTACAAAAAAAATGGAAAAAATTTTCTATATCAAGTTTTTAGTCGCAATGATGCACTTTTCGTATGTTGAAATCTAAAAAGAACCCAGTTCTAGAGTATTTTTGTATTTAACCCCAACGTGATATCGATTTACACTGCACAACTTTGCGCTTCAAAGCCCATTGAACACTTGCATCAAGAGACAGTTGTACGACGCGATTGTGTAGTATAAGTCGCTGTTCAGTTTTAGGCTGTTTTTGCCTTTGTTGCCAAGTATAATTTTCGTCGCTCAAGCAATCTCAGCTGAATGCCATTAGGAGATGAATTTTTCAGACAGCAAAAAACCTTGCATTGCGAACTCGACGTTTTGAAGTATGATGCCGCTTGTGGTTGGCAAAGTTCATTTGGGCAATTTGAATACAAAATTCCATCATTACAAGAGATCTGTAAATAAATTGTCTGAGTTAAAGTGCCACAGGAAAAAAAATCCGGCAGGAAAATTTCAAAACTTGTGAGGTTGCGATTCAAGGGTTTTCGGTGTGTTGATATACGCATATATGTGTTTGCAATAAAGCCGTGAAATATACTGTTTTACTATCCACCAAAATACAGGGCAAATCATCAGAACATAAGAAAAACAAGTTAAATGGTCACAGTTCAACCGTGCAACTGTACAAACTAAATAGTGCTATTTGGTACATCGTGCCTGCGGTGACTTAGTGATGAATGTCAAAAAATATGACTGACTGGGTTGCATTTCAACAATAATGGTTAGTATAATAAAGACACAGTACGCATTTCCAGTGAACTAAAATAAAGACACTGAACGCATTTCTAGTGAATCAGAATGCAAATTAAATTGATTGATACAACATATTTCACGTCCACTTATAGTACAAATTAGTACTACTGAGATTTTGTACAATTGCACGGTTTAAGTGCGATCCGTCTCGTTCGACTATTTTCACGGCTTTTTTCAATATGCCCTAGTGCGAATAGATCATAGAGAATGTTGGAAGGCTTATTGATGTAATAGCTTATGACGTTGTTTAGTGTATAGTGCGCAGCCTCAGTGTAGAGCTGTAGTACAGCAAATATGTTAGATTTGTAGGTGGCCTTAAAGGCTGAATATAAGATACTTATAGCAGTATATGTATTATATATCAGTCAATAGGGATCTTAAATGAGGACCAATCATTACCGATCGTCCTCCTTATAGGGTCTTTATATAGCGGCATTTATATCATGAATACATTCTATACGCACTATTAATAGCTCATTCACCCTCTATAGAAAGAAATCATTAAAACAGCAAACAATTGATATAACCATGTTTGTTTTTCGTTACTGCTCGAAACCTCAATGAACAACATGTTGGAAAAGAGACTATCGATGTTGGGCATCTAGTAACCCTTATAGCGATCTCTTTTACACTGTGCTAGCCTCAAAACAATCTAGTAACCCTTATAGCGATCTCTTTTACACTGTGCTAGCCTCAAAACAATCTAGTAACCCTTATAGCGATCTCTTTTACACTGTGCTAGCCTCAAAACAATCTAGTAACCCTTATAGCGATCTCTTTTACACTGTG